TTCCGAGGAGTGGCTGGTGGGTTTGAACCGCCAGCCTTCTGGTTAGCAGTCAAGTGCTTTAGCCATTATGCTACCAGAGGTATACATATTGAAAATGAACTGGCTTTAGTGGGGTGGTACTAGTTTCCATGCTTACCGCAGCGCATGGGAGTGTGGTTGTCTCCAACCTTAGCCCACCCTGGGAATTATTTTCTTTTTCTTTTCAACCTTTGCTAATGTGATAAGTGAAAACTGGTATCTCATTGTTTTAATCAGTGTGTTTTTGACTGTTTATGAAATTTAACCTATGTTCATATACTTCTTGGCCACTGGTACCTCCTCTTTGGTAACATCAACATCTTAACTCATTTTTGCAAAACTGAAAGCAATCAATGTTTTAAAAAGACCAATAACTGGGAAAATATTAAGAGCAAGTAATGTTCAATGTTGAGATCTTTATTATTCAAAGTGCTCCAACAGATGCACAAAGGAGGAGTAGAACTGTGGTTAAGAGCACATATATATATGAGTTAGGTAGGGGAAGGTTCAAATCCTGGCCCTGACACTTACTCTCTGTAAACTTAGGGAGTTAGTTAAATTCTCTGAGCGTCAGGTTACTCATCATTAATTCATCATCAAAATGGGGACAACGTGGAATATGGAAGGAATAAAGGAGACTGATATGAGAAGCACTTGGCACACGATGAGCAATCAGCAAATGATGATTTCTATTACTAGTAAGAAAACATTGAAACACTCCAGAACAATAAATGGTTAAAGGAACTAAGAAATCAATCCATGAAACACCACATAAGGTGGATGAATTTGGACGCTATGATGCTGAGTGAAATAAGTCGATCACAGAAGGACAAATATTGTATTAGTCCACTATTGTAAAACGTCAAGGAAAGGTTTCCATATGGAAGGACACTTCCTTTGTTGGTTACCAGGGATGGGAAGGGAGGGGACAGAAAGTTGCTAGATAGGTAGAGACAAGTACTGATTTGGGTGAAAGGAAGGGCAGTATACCAAAAGCGAGTGACCAACACAATAACACTAAGAAAAAGGAAGACACAGAGAGGTGCACAAGAGGTACAGACAACAAAGGTAAATACAATTATGAACACAATACTGCATTATCCGTAATAACAAACATTAATCTACAGGTGGATACACAGGTAGAGAGGCTGAATGATCACATATGTCTGGGCAAAAGGGAATATAACCATGACCATATTTAAGCTTGGCAGACAATATTTCTATATAGGTATTTGTGTGTGCTATAAGAATGTCCATATATGTAATGGAGCTAATGGGGCAAAGTGATGATAACTTCTTAGCTACAGTCTGACATCCTGAGGGAATGAATTAGTGAGCCCATGGGTTCGGGACCATGGTCATGGGGGACATCAAGCTCAATTGGCATAACATACTACACAAAAACATTGTTCTACATCCTACTTTGGTGAGCAGCAACTGGGGTCTTAAAAACATGCAACTGGCCATCTAAGATGCAGCAATTGGTCTCTCCTCATCCAGAGCAAAGAAGAATGAAGAAAACCAAAGCCACATGAAAACAATCAGTGCAAAGGACTAGTAGTTGTCAGGTGCCGTTGAGTTGGTTCTGACTCATAGCAACCCTGTGTTCGTTCAGCAGAATGAGACTCTGCCCGGTCCTGCGCCATCCTCACGATCCTTGTGATGCTTGAGCCCATCATTGCAGCCACTGTGTCAATCTATCTAGATGAGGGTCTCCCCTTCTTCACTGACCCTGTACTTTACCAACCATGATATCCTGCTCCAGGAAGTGGTCCCTTCTGACAACATGACTAAATAGACGAGATGAAGTCTAGCCATTCTTGCTTACAAGGAGCATTCTGGCTGCACTTCTTCCAGGACAGATTTGTACTTTCTTCTGGCAGTCCATAGTATTTTCAGTATTCTTCGCATCGATTCTTCTTCTGTCTTCCTTATTCATTGTCCAGCTTTCACATGCATATGAAGCAACTGAAAATACCATGGCTTGAGTTAGGCACACCTTAGTCTTCAAAATGACACCTTTGCTCTTCAACACTTTACAGAGGTCTTTTGCAGCAGATTTGCCGAGTGCAGTATGATGTCTGATTTCTTGTGCTTCCATTGGTGTTGACTGTGGAATCAAACAATATAAAATCTTTTGACAACTTTGATCTTCTCTCCGTTTATCATGATGCTGCTTATGGGTCCTGTTGTAAGGATTTTCATTTTCTTTATGTTAAGGTGTAATCCATACTGCTGACTGTAGACTTTAATTTTCATCAGTAAGTGCTTCAAGTCATTTTCACTTTCAGCCAGCAAGGTTGTTTATCGTCTGCATATCGCAGGTTGTTAATGAGTCTTGCAACAATCTTGATGCCATGTTCTTCTTCATATAGTCCCCCTTCTCAGGTTATTTGCTAAGCATACAGATTGAATAAGTATGGTGAAAGGATACAACTTTGATGCACATCCTTCTGATTTTAAGCCATGCTTCTTCTTGTTGTTATGTGCCGTTGATTCGGACCCAACTCATAGCAACCCCTCCTTAGGTTTCCAAGGCAGTATCACTACAGAAGTAGATTGCCCAACCTTCCTTCTGAGGAGTATCATGCAGTATCCCCTTATTCAGTTTGAACTATAGCCTCCTGGTCTATGCACAGGTTCCTTATGAGCACAATTAAGTGTTCTAGAATTCCCATTCTTCTTAATGTTATCCGTAATTTGTTATGATCCACACATTCAAATGTCTTTGCATAGTCAATAAAACACAAGTAAACATCTTCATGGTATTCTTTGCTTTCAGCTAAGATCCATCTGACATCAGCAATGATATCCCTCATTCCATGTCCTTTTCTGACTCCAGCTTGCATTTCTGGAAATTTGTCAATATACTGCTGCAAATGTTTTGAGTTATCTTCAGCAAAATTTTACTTGCATGTGATATCAATGATAATAAAAAAAAAACCAAACTCATTGCAGTGGAGTTGGATCCGACTCATAATGACCTCTCCTTGAGTTTCTAATGTGTTATCACTAGAGAAGTAGATAGCCCAATCTTCCTTTTGAAAAGTGGCTGGTGGGTTTCAACCACCAGCCTTCTGGTTAGCAGTCAAATGTCTTAGACACTACACCACCAGAGCTTCTATTAATGACATTAAGAGTTGCGTTTAGTAGACCCTGTGAACCTCAGCCTACATGACCCTGAGACCAGAAGAACTAGATAGTGGTGCTAGGGTATCACTGTCAACCACTCAGAAAGGGATCAAAATAGGAGATGCTTGATAGAGTGGGAAGAAAACATGGAACAAAACTCAAAATCATAAAAAAAAACAGACTTACTGGTCTGATAGAGACTGGTGAAACCCCTGAGACTTTGGCCCCTAGTCACCCTTTGGGCCTGGAACTGACCTCACTCCCGTGGCTTCCAGCCAAACAATAGGCATATAAGGTCAACATTTATACCAGGTAGGGGTCAGCAGTTCAAACTCACCAGCTGCTCCACAGAAGGAAGACTGGGGGATCTACTTCTGTAAAGATTTACAGCCCTGGAAACCCAATAGGGATTGCTATGAGTCAGAAACAACTTGATGGTAGTGAGTTTGGTTTGGTTTTGGTGAGGTGTACTCCTTAGAACAATCAAGCACAGGAGATCAGAAGGGCAGTATCTGCAGAGGGAGATTGCTCAGGTGGCAGGAATGCATGGGAAAGAAGGATGCAGGGAAAAGGTAACCACGGGGGAAGTAGAAAGAGAGCTATTGCATTGTGGGGAATTGCAATCAATGTCATGAAACAAAATGTGTATGAACTGTTGTGTGGAAAATGAATCTGCTCTGTAAACTTTCAACCAAATCACAATTGATAAATAAGTAAATAAATAAGGAACTAAGAAATCATAGGCAGGAAACACAACAAATAAATAAGCATATGTTAAAATGTTTATCTCCTGTAATAACAAAGGAAATGCTAATTAACACATGGTGCCACGACCTGCCCCTCCTTTATAAAATGAACAAAAACATTTTCAAGTGACAATTCCTGATGCTGAGGAAGGTGTGGTCAAATCTTGCCAGCCCCGCATTGTTGGTGGCTGTGTAATGCTTACCACCTTTGCAGAAAGCAGTTTGGCAATATGTCTCATCACACAAACATGTGTGCAACCTTTGACCCAGAGGTTTCCTAAGGAAGTAATTCAAAATATGGAAAAAGCTATCTGTACAATGATGCTTATGCCAGCATTGTTTGCGATGGTGGAAAGAGGACATTTATTTTCTGCTTCACTAAAGGGTCAGATGGTAGTGAAAATACATGCTAGGTTGCATCAGCCCTTTTAGTTCAGTAATATAATTTTTTTTTTTTTTTCATTAAAAAGGGATTTGAACCGCCAACCTTCTGGTTAGCAGGCAAATACCTTAAGTACTGTGCCACCAGAGCTCCTTAATCACTGATTTAGACCTCTAAAAAGATTTTAAAACCAAACCACTGCCATCGAGTCAGAATAGTCTCTAAATCTTGTCTTAATTCATAATTGAATACATTACTTTGAAAAATCTTTCAGAGTTCTACTAACTAGTGGTCAGATTGATAGATTTAAAAATTATCTTCTTAAATCTATTTATTCTCCAGTGGAATTTGGAGTAATTTGAAACTAGGGGAAATTTGGGGGGAGGGGGCAGGAACAGCATTCTCTCATCTGTAAATCAGATTTAAAAATCAGATTGGACAAGGAAAGAAGATAAGCTGGTGTTGAAAGTCCTTTTCTACAAACCCCAGGCCATCAGAAGCACAGATCCCACTGAGAACTTAGAACTAAGGATGAGCTATTTTCCTTCCTTCTGTTCCCCTAGACCTCAGTTTCCCTATCTGTAGAGGGAGAGGTTTGGTGAATTTATCCTGAATTCTGAAATTTAGCCCATTGTGAGCTGCTCACTGAGCTGTGCTTGGCAGCGGCAGGGGTGAGTCACATCCTATGTCACCTCCATGTCTGTGTGTGCTTTGTGGTGCAGGAGGACCCAAACAACACCGCGGGAGAGCAGGAGCGTGCGGAGTCAACGGTGCCAAGTCCAAGCTGTGCCTTCTGCCACCGGGCCCTTGAACGGTGAGGGCTTCTTGTTGCTAAATTCCCAGGGTGAGTGGGAGTCAACAGACTGAACGGATGCAGAAGCTGCTAGTCTTCTATTATTACAGAATCACAGTCTCAGGGTTGGGCCCATAGCCCAGCCTCCCTCCCAATTTACAAATCCCTCTATCAGTGGTTCTCAACTGAGGTGAGCACCAAAATCACCAGGGAGTTTTCAATAATTCACATGCCTCAGCCTCACCTCCTGAGTCAGCATCGCCAGGGGTGGAGCACTGACAGGAAGTTTTAAAAATCTCCCCAGGTGATTCTGATGAGGCATCCTGGTTAAGAATAATTGTGCTACAGCTCTTGGGGTGTGGTCCTGTAGGCTCTGTTTTTAGCTTTGCCCCAAAGTGGGTTTATTGTATATCACCGTATACCAGCTTCCACTGCCACAACTTACAATGAACAAAAGTCTTCCCTGTGAGGGCCTGTCTCTGCCCCCTCATCCCACTGGAAACAAGCCTAATCCCTCTTCTCAAGGATTGCTGCTTCCTGTTCCTAAGCAAGAAATTTTCCAGAGGTAATGAGCTGTCTGTGGGGTAAAGAACTGTAGATGTAAAATCCTTAGTGTTTTAGAAACACTCATTGGGTCAACCATTAGCACATATGGATTCAGAATTATTTATTTGAAACTTTTATCACTTAGGATATCACTTTATCTGTGTCAATAGTTAAAGTGCTTGGGCTGCTAACCGAGGTTCGAATCCACCCGGAGACATCTCGAAAGAAAGGCCTGGTGATCTACTTCTGAAAAATCAGCCATTGAAAACTCAAGTGGAGCACAGTTCCACTCTGACACACGTGGGGTCACCCTGAGTCGGAATTGACTCAATAGTACCTGCTTTCAGTTGGCGGGAGTGCACACCTCGAGGTTCCCAGGGCACTGCCGACTTGATCCAAAGCTTGGCTAATTTACCTGTGTAAGGACAGGAGTCAAGGAGGGAGGAGCTGTTTAGTAGTCATTAATAGGACTCTAATAGAAGCAGATGACAAGGTCTGAAAGACTGACACTTCCTATTAGAATGCATTTCACCACAGGAGTGAGCACTTGTCCTAAGTGTTCTATGAGTTTCTTCCCCTTAAAAAAAGAAACAGCCTGATGTTTGTGCTAAAAATCACCATTCGTCATCCGGGTTTGACCATTACTTTAAACCATACGTCAGCCATCACCTTTGACCTCTCCTTTACATCCCAGGGGCACTAACGATGCTCACTCACTGGGTTATCCCAGGCCTATCTTTATTTATTGAAGTAAAATCTTGATGATAGACTACTTTTGGTGTGTTTGATTAATTGTACTAATAATATCTGGACATTTAAGAAACATTTTGATTAAGCATTCAAGGTACTAAATGTTTCTGTCCCAAATTCCCAAACCAGACCCTGTAGAATCTCAAATACCAAGACAAGGACCAACGTCCCAGACTAAATTTACTTATTTATTTATTTTTATTGTGATTTGGGTGAAAGTTTACAGAGCAAATTCACTTTCCATACAGCAGTTCACACACACATTGTCTCATGACATTGATTACAATTTACCCCAATGCAACAGCTTCCCTCCCACTTCCTGTTCCCTGTGTCTGTCTCTCTATGCACTCCTGTCCCCTGAGCTGTCTCCCTGTGCATAAACAGCCCTTCTTTCTCTCATGATTGTTCTCTCCAAGGAGTGTATCTACCTCAGGTAAGTGTTCAACTCATATGACTGTCTTTTGTTTGACTGGAAGCTACAGGTATAGGTTCAATTTCAGACCTTAAGGGCAGCTAGGGACCATAGTCTCAGTGGTTCCACCAGGCTCTATCAGGCTGGCAAACCTGGTCCCCCATTTTTATTTTTCCAAATGATTTTGAGTTTTGTTCCACATTGTTCTCCCTCTCTATCCAGGATCTCCTCCATAGAACCCCCTCTGAGTGGTTGACAGTGGTAGCTGGGCAC